CTGGGCGCCCGGCTCCGGGCCTGCTGGGGCTGCTGCTGGCCTTCGCGCCGCTCATGCTGCTGGGGCTGCTCTTCGTGCTGCTGGACCGCTCAGGCCGCTGGGCCGGGCGCCACTCTCTCCACGCCGCCTGGCCAGCCCTAGCCAGCGGGCGGAAAGACACTGGCCAAACCTCGCCCCGCGCCGCAGCGCTGGGCAGCGCACACCTTGCTGGGAGCCACGACTGAGCAGGACGAGCTTCCCTGAGGCCAGGAGCGGTGGACGCCTGCAGGACGCCTGCTGGGAAGCTGCCCGTGGGGCCCAGGACAGCGCGGCAGGAGGCCCCAAGGGCTTCTGCCCGGCCCAGCCTAGCACCGGCACAGTGGACCCTGGTGCACACAAGTCCAGGGCGGACTGGCCAGCGGCTGCATTCCGGCAAGGGCCAGGTCATGTCCGCCGAACATCAGGGCAGAAGAGGGGAGGGGCCTTGCACACGTGCCCACGGGTCAGCTCATTGGGTGGGCACACGCCCGGCCCCCGCAGGTCTGAGCCTGGGGCCTTCAGGGGAGGGACGAGCCGCCTGCGACCTGCCTGTGAGCACTCGGCTCCTGCGGTCTCGCCCAGCCCTCCTGCTCGCCCCTGCAGGCACCCCGCAAGGCCGGCGCCCGACTGCCAGGCAGGGGCCACGCCCCCACCCGCTGCTGGCCACGCCCCCTCCGAGGATCTCCTCTCCCAGGCTGCTCAGCTCCTGGCGGCTGCTGAAGGTGAGCCGGTGAGCCCAGCGGCCGCCGACTGGGTGACTGCTCAGTACGTGTGAATTCCGACCTTGGACTCGCTCTTTTCCCTTAAGATTCTGATGGCAGCGAGTTCCCAGAGGACCCCGTACTACAGGTGCTGAGGCTTCAGAGGGCCGAGCTGCGGCGGCAGAAAAGGTGACCGGCACCTGCTGCCATGACTCCCGGCCCCTAAGGCCTCTGCGACCACGTTGGGTGTCTCTCCCTCCCGAGCCCTTTTTCCAGAAGTGCCCATAGCCCCAGACCCCAACCCTGAGCGCATATTTCAAATTCTGCCTTCCTGTGCTCCCTCCCACTTTTTCCAGGAAAGTGGATGCCCAGTTAGCGCGCCTCCTGGAACATACTGAGGACCCAGGATCCTGGTCCCCTCCAGCCAGGTCGACCCCCAGGTCTCCAAGGATGCGACGTCAGAGGGAAGGAGACTTTCTGGAAGCCAGACAGCTTTGAATTGTACAAATTCTTTTCCCTGGTAGAGCACTTTTTCTGTAATCCCAGTGAAATGTTCTTTTCAGGTTACTAGAAACCTGAGAAAGAGGTGGTTCTGGAAAAGCCAAGGGTGGGGAGGGGATCCAGACAAGACTTGGGGGTTCACCTTACCTGACTTCACTCAGGAGTATATCTGGCCTCTGCACAGGTTAATTCACCTTCCCTGTGACCAGCCCTGCCGCCTCCCTCCTTGAAGCTCTTCCACTTCTCATTGCCCCAACCTGCCACTTCGTTGCATTCCAGAACCTTCTGGCCTTCTCTGTCTCCACTCATTCTCAGATGGAGCTTATGGATCTCAGTCCCATCTCTAATTCTGATAGTCCCCAAATTTCTGTCTCCATCCTGGACTTGGCCACTCAACCTTGTGCTCCTCTCCTCTGCTACCTGCTCACCATTTCCGCTCAAAGGTGAAACTCCAGTGTCCTAAACTGAGTTCCCAGTTTTCCCCCTAAACGTATTCCTTCTCGACTTTTGTTGGCTCCATCCTAACCTCTTAGGCCAAAAGCCTCATAGTCATCCCTGACTCTTCTTTCCCTGAGGTCTGCAGTCAATTGGCCGGAAGTCCTGTCATCTCTGCCTTTAACATTTATTCCAAATATAACTCGTCCTCTCAGTCAAGGCTGTCATCACCTGTCTGGACAATTGGGAAACCTATTGTTTTGTCTGAAGACTTCCTTGACACAATTCTCAACAAAAAGTTGTCTGTGCCCCTCCTTGAAATTGAGAAGAACCTTGTGACTTCCTCAACAATGCAGAGAAAGTGATAGGCTCTTTTTAAACTGTATTAGAAAAAAGAATACAATACATGCTGGTTCTCTCCCTATTCCCCCCCTACCCCCTCTTTGATGAAAGCTTTAGCCATAGGCTGCCAGATAAAAAGTCCACTTGCCATTCTCAGTAGGAGTTTGGTTGCATAAGATGTGTGCAGTTGTCAAAATTCAGTGTAATCTATAATAAATTCATTGTACATGAAATTTACACATACGCAAAAAACTAAAAATATGCATGCTGGACTGTTTCCAGAACAATATACCAAAATCTCTCATTTGTTTGAAATACATCCAAAAATTAATTGGGTAAATGGGTTAATAGAGCAGTGATAAATAGATGTGATAATTAATAGATATATAAATAATAGATGTGAGAAAGCCAAGAGAGTAAAATGTTAATGGTAGAATCTAAGTGATGGGGCTTTGGGTGACCACTGTAAAACTTTTCATAATAAAAGGTTAGAAAATGTATGTTCAAGATGACTTTAATGTCTGTATTTGTTTAAAAGGGGGGACAGGGTAGATTTCTAATAAGTAGCTTCTCTTTGTCACAGACAGTTGTGTGTGTATTCAATAAACCATACTTTATTTTTTAAAGATTTATTTATTTATCATACAGAACTGGGGTACAGGCCAGAGGTGCAAGGGCAGTGAGAGGATTCACCAGAGATCAAGTGGGGAACAGAATAGGCAGATCAACAAAGTCCACTGCTGCATTGTCTTTATTACCTAGCACGAGTGGCCAGTCCACTATCCTCCAACTACTATTGATTGAAGTTATCACAATTCTGCCCAGAGTCGGGGGAGCGATAGAGACTCCACCTTTTCATGAGAGGAATGTCAAAGAATTTGCAGTCACTGCTGTCACAGCCGTCCCTGGCAGCGCAACAGGTTAGGACACAGCATTGCAAGCGAGCCACAGCTGAGTTGATTCCCCAGCCCCGGAGGTGACTCCTGGGGAGCAGCAGACCTCTCCTGTCTAGCCCCTCTTCCCCCCACCCTTCCCTCAGTGGTGTAACTTAGTCGATCTGACTGTTCTGCTCCCCACTCTGTCTCTGGTGAATCCTCTCACCGCCCCTGCACTTCTGACCTGTACCCAAGTTCTATATGCATAAGTAAATAAATCTTTTTTTTAAAAAAGAACTTATAGTCACATTCTAAAGATATCACATCATGTCGGCAATCCCTGTGATAGGACCGAGGTCAGCAAATTCAATAAATACGTTGGCCCTCCCCCAGCACTCCTTCCCCCCAACCCATCCCCACTAGTTAATAGTCTATATTTCTATATTATTTTGTTCATTTTCTTCTCTCCATGTAGGTAAAGATATATTTTCCCCTTTTTGGTTAAAGGCACAAATTAAGTGATCAGTTTTTGACTGAGTGGAGCAAATATGTACCTTCTGTGGTGAGAGCCTTGGTGGGGGCATGACAAATGGGAAACCCCTCTTGGAAAGGGCATTGTATTTTCTGGCATCGCTTCTATAGGAGGCATGGCTGTGTTCTGGCCCTGTGTTCTAAACCTATCCCTAGTTAGGAGTCAAGATTGGAGGTTAGCCTGTAGTAAGCAATAGAGGAAGATGCGAAAAGGGCCGGTGGGTGGGGAGCGACCATGTCGAAGAGTCCCTGGGCTGTGTCCCAGACAGGCATCCGAGTCGATGAAAACCGTTCGTGGTCAAATGCCCTCCATATTCGGTGGACCTACAGGGTTGAGACTGAAAAGCAGCTACAGGGTTGAGACTGAAAAGCAGCTAGAGGCTGGAGAAAAGCCCTCAAGCCATGGAAGACCCCAATTGAGAATGTCAGAGGAGCGGTCACTGAGCGTGGACTAAGGGTTCGTGTCTGAAGTGTCGGGAACGAAGCATAAAGAACCGGGGGTGTGTCTCAGGCGCAGAATGACAGCAAATGAAAAACAGCCATGGGCGTGGCGCTGTCAAACTTCGCGGGGCGGGACCGAAGAGACCGAACCAAGGAAGGGGCCGAAGCCGAAGCCAATGAAAATCTGCCTGGTGGGCGGGGCGTCGTCCCAACCGAGGGTGGAGCCAATGAGAAGCGGCGCCGCGTTCCTCCTGCTCCCGCCCCCGTGAGGCGCGCGCCAGAGCCACGGGCAGCCGTTAGGGGCGGGGCCTGCAGTCGCCCGCGCGCGGCTCGCGCCCTCCCCTTTGTGTCGCCATGGCGGCGGCAGCGGCGACGAGGACGACGAGCCGGGGGTCGTGCTCCGCCGGCGCCTGAGGAAGCTACGCGACCATGGTGGTGAGGGGCCCACGCGGCCGTCAGTCCGTCCGCGTGTCAGTCTGTCCGCGCGCGGCCCCGCCCCGCGCGCTCCGCCCCCGGCCCCGCCCGAGCCCGCGGCCTGCACCGCCCCTCACCCCTATTCGGGTGCGTCTCGCTCCCCTTGTCTCCGGCCGGAGTCCTAGCCCGGCCCCGCCCCCTCGGCGCGCATCCCCTTCCACGCTCTGCTTGGGGGTGACAGTGGCCGAAGAACTGGGCTGGTCCGGGAAAGCACTGGACGCCCCCAGGTGGCCCCCCGCGCGGGCCTTCGGAAGCGCCCTGGGTCCTTCACCGGCCCCCACCCCAGAGCCACCCTCAGCGCCCCCCGCCCAGTCTCCACCGCGGCCGGGCCCCCACCTCCTCCTCCCTCCAGCCCCCTTCTCCTCCTTGAGCCCCACCCCCACCGGCTCCCTGCCCTGCCTGGCCCTTTTCTTCCAGTCCTTCTTAGCCCACCCCAGCCCTCCACCGACCCTCGCCCACCTACCCCTTTACGTCAGAGCCCCAGTTGTGCGCCTCCTCTCCACCCCACCCAAACCCAGGCCACCCACTGTACCTGCAGCTTGATCTTTGGGAACTCATCCTCCCTCCCCCATCCTCCCTCCCCCACCATGCTGTTCCTGCTCATTCATCCATTCATTCCCTTACTCGCTCACTTAGCAGACCTCTGTGCAGACCCTCTGCTCCGGGCAGAGAGCATTCAGACCCCTTGGGGGACTGATAGGCCGGACGCAGATTTCAGGGTGAGACCCAAGGATGAACTCTGGCTTGCAGAGATTTGAAGGAAGCAGAAGCTAGAACCCCATCTCGGGAATCCTCAGCTGGCAGCTGGTTAATGCATTCATCAGATTTTACCTGGCCCCAGCTGCGCGACTGGGCCGGCGCTGGGCATAATTAGGGTCCAGAGAGAAATCAGTTAGAAACAGTGAGGAGCACCATCCTGTGTCCCGCTGTGCGCTGGGCCATGCTGGGGAACTGGGGGCTCCAGTCCCAGGTCCTGCTCCTGGGGAAGTCACAGTTCAGTGGGGGAGGTGGACTGTGATATCTCAAAGCGGGAAGTTGTCAAGTTCGGGGTGAAGGAACCTCAGGGAATGGAAGAATCCAGAAGAGGTGCCTGGCACTCCCGAAGAGTTCTGGAGACTTCCAAGAGGAGGGAACATGAGAGTTGAGGTGCAAGAGGTGAGGTTGGAAAACAGGAGATGAGGATTAACATCACCCCACTAGGAGTGAACCTCATAAGGGTGGGGCAAGAGCTCCATGCGGGAGGATTAGCCCTTGCAGAGGCCTGAAGGGAATCAGAAGGGAGCTAGGGTGAGGCTCAGGCAGGGCCGGGCAAGCACAGGAGGCACTAGTGGTGACTCCTGGCCCCCAGGATCGTGGTTCCTGGATTCAGAATTTCAAGAGCTCAGAGGATGGAGGCAATAGGAAGGGGACAGATGCCAGAAAATTCAGACTTATCTTGAAGATAACAGGGAGCCACTGAATGTGTGTGATCTATGAAGCTACAGAGACAGATTTGTGTTTTGTGAAGATCATGCACTTACTGTGAAGAAGCTGTCAGGAAGGCAGAGATAGGGAGCAATAAAACCGAGGAGATTCAACTGTGATTGTCCAGACATCGCCGAAAGATGTGGAGGCACGTGTGGAAGATAACTGTGCTCCATCAGGGCCTCGGGAGGCCGGACAGAGATGGAGTCAGCCACCGTCTGAGCCTCACCTTCGCACCTGCTTCTCCACTCCCACCCCGCCACACACAAAGAGGCAGGAGAGGCAGACCTGTCCTCAGCCCAGCCTTCACCTCCCCCGATGTTCCCTGCCGCCACACACTCAGAGCAGCACGTGGGGCAATTTGGCCTCTAGACCCAGGCTGCCAGATAACAATGGTCCTGTTGTCTTATCGCTCCCATCTCTGGGGACCTCTGATTCTTCTTTCTGCTCCACAGGCTCGCAGCACTGACAGCCTGGATGGCCCAGGGGAGGGCTCAGTGCAGCCCCTGCCCCCCACCGCAGGGCCCAGTGTGAAGGGGAAGCCTGGGAAAAGGTGAGAGGTGAGGGAGAGGCTGAGCTTAGGCGGGGAGGCCCAGCACAGGAGCTGCTAGTGACGCATTACCTGTCCACCAGGCTCTCAGCTCCTCGAGGTCCCTTTCCCCGGCTGGCCGACTGTGCCCATTTCCATTACGAGAATGTTGATTTTGGTCACATCCAGGTATGGAGGCTTTACACCCAGGTGGGAGGCGAGCTCAGCCACTTTACCACTGAAACTTATCCCCAGGACTGGCTGCTTTAGCCCTCAGTGCCAATAGTTACAGGGTAGAAGGGGAAAGCTGTTCATTCATTTGTCTTATTCATTCAGCAACTATTTCTTTGTCAGTTGTATGCCCTGTGCCAGGGCCTTGTATGCTGAGACAGACACCACCAGACCCCACCCTGAGGGGGCCAGTAGAGAGACACAGACCCATCGCTCTGAATGACAGCCTGGGGAGGTCAGGACTGGGGCAAAAGTGAGGCCCTCACCTGGGCCTTTGTTTGTCTCTGCAGCTTCTGCTGTCTCCTGAGCGTGAAGGCCCTAGCTTTTCTGGAGAGAATGAGCTGGTGTTTGGGGTGCAGGTGACCTGTCAGGTGAGGCCACCTCTGCCTCTCCTCTAGTCCTGGGGACCAGTCACCATGACCCTCAGCTCACTGTAATGGGACCACTGCTCCTTCCGTCCTCCCCAATCCTATAGGGCCGTTCCTGGCCAGTTCTCCGCAGCTATGATGACTTCCGATCCCTGGATGCCCACCTCCACCGGTGCATCTTTGACCGGAGGTTTTCCTGCCTTCCAGAGCTCCCCCCACCCCCCGAGGGTGCCAGGGCTGCCCAGGTAACCTGCTGTTGTCCCAGCCCCTGCATCAGCTACCGGTGTGTCCTCGGCAGCCACGTGTGGAACCATCAAGGCAGAGGGGATAGATGAATAATTAAACACTGGTATGACCTGAGTACGAACCAGTCCAAAGGGAGAGGCCTGAACTACAGCAGGGTCTGGAGGCTCCCTTTAACTTTAGGACCATGGGGCGTTCCAGAGGGTTCCATGGAAAGGTTAGCATAACCAGACAACGAGGGCACATAGCTTGGCACAGCCCATTTACCAACTGCTGTGGCAGTGTTTCAGGACTTAACGGCAGGACAGCACCTGTACCCTTAGGTAGAATTTCAACCCTGCCGAGGGGCCCCCCAGGGCTGACAGGAGGGCAGTGGGGTTTCTTCAGGTCCCCTCACAAGAGCCCACCCTGACCACCTGCCCCCAGATGCTGGTGCCACTGCTGCTGCAATACCTGGAGACCCTGTCAGGACTGGTGGACAGTAACCTCAACTGTGGGCCTGTGCTCACCTGGATGGAGGTGGGTCCTACTCAGATTGGGGAATGGGTGAGGGGTGTCTGAGCAGCGAGAGCTAGCCTGAGAGAGGGGCGGTGGGGAGAGAGAGAGAGTGCATGTGCGCACATGCGCGTGCATGTGGGGGTGTGTGGGTGGGCACAGCAAAGAAAGGAGCTGGAGTGGAGGCGGCACTGGTATTTCAGTGTCTGTGTGGGCGCATGCCTATGAGAGAGCGTGCACACATTTTAGCAGGTCTTGGGCTCTGGAGGATATGAGGATTTCAAGGTATACCAGTTAAAAATAGGTTTGACTGGAACTCACAGAATGCCTGTTCAGGAGGAACTTAAACCAGCAGGTCTTTCGGGAGCAAATATACGGAGGATGAGGGCGCAGGGGCATGTGAGGGGAGGGAAGCGCCTTTGTTTCGGCGGGGTGGGGATTCAGCTCCAAGTGCCCGGCCTTCGGGTGGGGGACAGGCAGCGGCCTCCACTGGGCCTGCTGGGACTGCTGCCTGATCACTTCCTCCCCCCAGCTGGACAACCACGGCCGACGACTGCTCCTCAGCGAGGAGGCCTCACTCAATATCCCTGCGGTGGCTGCGGCCCACGTGATAAAGCGGTACACAGCCCAGGCACCCGATGAGCTGTCCTTCGAGGTGAGTCTGACAGGAGCAGACCCCCACTTGCCACTTCTCCTGCTCCCTCTGACCTGCCCTCCTCGCACCTATCTGCTCGCAGGTGGGCGACATTGTCTCAGTCATTGACATGCCACCCACGGAGGACCGGAGCTGGTGGCGGGGCAAGCGAGGCTTCCAGGTGAGTCTGGCTCAGGATGGAGAGTGGGGGCGGGGCACTGTGCCAGCCAGGGTGGTCCAGTCACTGACCCTGACTCCTTCGCAGGTTGGTTTCTTCCCAAGTGAGTGTGTGGAACTGTTCACAGAGCGGCCAGGTCCAGGACTGAAAGGGGGTAAGTGCCGTGGGCAGAGGGGAGGCCCTCCTGCATCCTTTGCCTCCCATCCATCCTTGTGAACATTGTTCGGCCCACAGATGCTGATGGTCCCCTGAGTGTCCCAGCCCCCCAAGGCATCTCCGCTCTGACTTCAGGTAATAAAGGCGAGGGGGTCAGGCCTCCGCCCCGGCCTTCCAGACTGGTTCTGCCCTGACGGGTGTGGCCGCCTTTCCCCCACAGCTGTTCCTCGGCCCCGAGGGAAGCTGGCTGGCCTCCTCCGCACCTTCATGCGCTCCCGGCCTTCCCGGCAGCGGCTGCGACAGCGGGGAATCCTGCGGCAGCGGGTGTTTGGCTGTGACTTGGGAGAGCACCTCAGCAATTCAGGCCAGGATGGTGAGAGCCAGCCCACCCGCCCAGCCAGCCCTCCCGCCCTGCCTGCCCACCCGCCCAGCCTGCCCTGACCCCACCACTTTCTGCCAGTGCCCCAGGTGCTTCGTTGTTGCTCAGAGTTCATTGAGGCCCACGGGGTGGTGGATGGGATCTACCGGCTTTCAGGCGTGTCGTCCAACATCCAGAGGCTACGGTGAGGCCCTCCACCAAACCCTCCTTCCACAAACATTTACTGGACACCTTCCCACTCCAGGCCCCGTGCCATGTGCTGGGGACGCAGAGTTATCCGCAGTTAGGGGGACACAGAGCCAGATTGGACTGAGACCAGGGCAGGGAGGGCTTCCTTGAGGAAGTGCCACCACATCTGAGACCTGGAAGGTGAGAGAATTAATATTGGAAGCAAGGGCCCTCCCTGGTGGTGCAAGGGGTTACGTCTCAGCACTATGAAGCAGTTGACAACCACTGCAGCACGAGTTCGATCCCCGGCCAGCGAACTGACCCACATGGCACAGCAGACTTCTGATGTCTTGCCCGCTGCTCCCCTCAGCAGTGTACTTCATCAGTCTGCCTGTCCTACTCCCCACTGTCTCTGGTGAATCCTCTCAACCCCACACCTCTGGCCTGTAACCCAGTTCTTGTATGCATGAGTAAATAAATCTTAAAACATATTAGAAGCAGAGGATCACTCTTCACTTAACACCTGCCACCTGCCATGCTCAAGGCCCTGGAGACCAGGGCCAGTGGAGACCCACTCTTGGGGCTCACACGCCAGAGGGAGAGATGCTACTCTGGCTGGCTAGTGCTGTGGAGAGCAACAGATTGGGACGAGGAGGAGGGTGAGCAGAAAGCAGGAGTGCAGTTTCAAATAGGGTGGGCAGAGAAGGCCTCCTGAGAGCGGCCAGGCTCTGGAGGTGAGGGACCAAGCCACAGGTTTTCTCAGCGTGCTCAGGGGGAGGCAGCCAGTGCAAAGGGGAGAGCAGCAAGAGATGAGGGTCGAGAAGTAGCTAGGGGCAGACTGTATAGGCCTTCTGGGCAACTGTTAAGATTTGGAGTTTCACTCTGGGGGAGGGAGTGGGGCAGTGAGAAACCAGGCCCGAAGCACTGCATAAAGGGGGGGGCCGAGGGGGTGTTCACCTTGGAGGGCTGGGGCGGGTGCTGCTGCAGTCCCGGCTATTTGCCAGTGATATTTCAAAGCCACAACTTTGCGAAAGGGACAGGGCCATGCTCTGGGGTCAGATGGCCTTGGGTCGCTGCAGGCGAGATCATCCCCCTAAGCTCTGGTGTCCTGTCTGTAAAACGGGGCACCCTGCTCCTTGGGGCAGAGGGTGGATGTGGCTGCTTCATAAGGTTGTCTGGAGAGGTCAGCAGAGGAAAGAAGTTGCTCCCATCTTGGACACTTTGGGGACGGGGGACGGACACAGCCAGGTGGGCCAGCTCTGACCTGAGTCTTCTCTCCCTGACCGGGGGGCCTCAGGCATGAGTTTGACAGTGAGAGGATCCCAGAGCTCTCTGGCCCCGCCTTCCTGCAAGACATCCACAGTGTATCCTCCCTCTGCAAGCTCTACTTCCGGGAGCTGCCAAACCCCTTGCTCACATACCAGCTCTACGGGAAGTTCAGTGTGAGTAAGGGTGCTGGTGAGCCTGGGGGTGCGGGACACCTCAGCCCAGCTCCCATCATGCCTGTTCACAACCTCAGGAGGCCATGTCAGTGCCTGGGGAGGAGGAGCGCCTGGTGCGTGTCCATGACGTCATCCAGCAACTGCCCCCACCACACTACAGGTAAACGGGAGCGGGGGTTGGGTGGGCAGGAAAGGGCTGTGGCAGCACCCCCTGGGACATGTGGCTCAGTGTCCCCCTGCTCCCACCTCAGGACCCTGGAGTACCTGCTGAGGCACCTGGCCCGCATGGCAAGACACAGCGCCAACACAAGCATGCATGCCCGCAACCTGGCCATCGTCTGGGCACCCAACCTGCTACGGTAAGCTGGCGACGCCGGCCCGGCCAGCTCCTCCGGTGGCGGGCCATCCCACTCAGGAACCTGCGGCTGTGATCACTGGGGCACGGCAGTGGCCAGGGCTTGGGCTCACATTGTCTGGAGGGGACAGCAAAGTACCAAGAAGAAGAACACAGGGTCCGGTGGTGCTGAGCGCCCAGGTTACAAAGCAGGGAAGGAGATGCGTGGGGTCATGGTGTTTGAAATCTTTAAGGAAGTTTCTGTCAGAGTCTGCCAAGAAGAAGCATGGCCAGCTGCAGCGTGAGCCCCAGAGGATTTTGTGTGGACCAAGACAGGGATGCCCTCGTCCTGGAGGGTTCACATTTTCCTGAGGAGACAGATAAGCAAAAAATAGGTGGAACATCAGATGGTGGTTAAGGAACTGAGGCCGCAAGTAAAGAGCCTAGGGGACAGAGGAGCCCGGTTACTCTACATGAGATGAAGGGGCAAGACTCACTGTGAAGGAGCACTCCAGTCAGGAGCTGCAGGAGCTGCGGGAGGCGCCCTGTGGCTGTTGGGGAGGAGCCGCAGCCTCAGGACAGTGAGTGCAAGGGCCTGGCCTGGTCAGCCCCTGCGGAGCAGGGAGGCTCCAAGGGCAGGAGGGAGGGAGTGGTCGGAGAAGACGACCCTGTCAGGGCGGTGATGAGGCTCTCGTGTGATCGGGTAGAAGTGGTCGGGGGTGTGGGCGGGAGCTGGGGGGTTCATGGGGAGGACTTGGCCTCCACCAGAAGTGGGGTGCAGTGCGGGAGGCCTCTGAGTGAGCATGGCCCTGATCTGACTCCGGTTCACAGGCTCCCTCTGACTTCAAGTGGGGAACAGGTTGGGGGCGAGGCAGGCAGGGAGGAGGCTGCTGTGATGTCCAGCTAGGGAGGATGGAGGCTGCAGCAGGTGCCAGCAGAGGAGAGAGAGATTCTAGATTCCGGATTCAGATCCAGATTCTGGAGAGACTTGTGGGTGGACCCCACAGCGTTGTGTGCAGATTAAATGTGGTGTGAGGGCAGAGAGGAAGCAAATTCTAAAGCCCTTGGCCTGAGCCCCAGGAGATCTGATTGACTGAGCTGGGGGAGGCGGGCAGAGAGCAGATGTGGGGAAAGGTGAGGGGCCCGGCTCTCGTGTGATCGGGTACACGTGGTCGGGGGTGCTGAGTGAGTGGCAGATTGCTTCCACTGGCTGCCCACCTTGTCGAGCCAGAGCCCACAAACTGGGGCTCAGAGCCTCTGGCCTGCCCCCTCCTTCCATCCAGGTCCATGGAGCTGGAGTCAGTGGGGCTGGGCGGGGCAGCAGCCTTCAGGGAGGTTCGGGTACAGTCAGTGGTGGTGGAATTCCTGCTCACCCACGTGGACGTGCTGTTCAGCGACACCTTCACCTCGGCTGGCCTGGACCCTGCAGGTATGCCGCCCCACCTGCTGTCCTGGCTGCTGCCCCTCATGTCAGGGCTGCAGTGGGGGGACAGATGGGCTCCCAGCCGTGTCCTTACCCCACGGAAGCTGGACCTGGCTCCTTGAGGACCCCGCCCCGGCCTCTCCCTCCCCTCCCCCCCCTTCTCATTTCAGCTCCTACGCTCAGGATCCCCACTTCTTGGCCCGGACATCGTTCTTTCTTCACCCCTTGTAGCTCCTGGGGGCACTTGGGGTCTTTGGTCCACCTGGGAGGAGGTGGGAGGCCCCCAGATTTGACCCTGCCCTGGCCCTACCCAGAGTCCCCCTGCCCTGTCCGGGACCCCAGCCCAATCAGGATTCAGCACGTCGGAGGGCCCTCTAGCCGGAGGTAACTGAAGCCAGAGCCACTGCCTTTGCTGGCTGCTGGGAGCTGCCTCCTCATCAGCTCGTTCTGCCTCACTCCCTCCTCACCTGCCTGCTGCCCACCCATTCCTGCCTGATCACCCTGGCCCCATGCCTTGCCAGCCCGGGTGGGCACGCTGCGGGGCCGGGGCTTGGGCTGTCGCGCTTGGCTTTGCCTGTGGTCTGGAATAGCTCCTCCAGCTGACGCTGTTTCCCCTTTCCCGATTCCACAGGCCGCTGCCTCCTTCCCAGGCCCAAGTCCCTTGCTGGCAGTGGCCCCTCCACCCGCCTGCTGACGCTGGAGGAAGCCCAAGCTCGCACCCAGGGCCGGCTGGGGACACCCACAGAGCCCACAGCCCCCAAGACGCCAGCTTCGCCTGTGGAGAGGTGTGCGGGGGTAATGCGGGGAGGGCAAGCACAGCGTGCAGGCCCAGAACTCAGACCATCTCCGTGTCTCACCGGCCCCAGGAGGAAAGGGGTGAGAGGCGAGAAACAGCGGAAGCCGGGGGGTAGCAGCTGGAAGACCTTCTTTGCACTGGGCCGAGGCCCCAACATCCCTCGAAAGAAACCTCTGCCCTGGCTGGGGGGCACCCGAGCTCCGCCGCAACCCTCAGGTCAGAGGCTGGGCACTGGGTGATGGGGCGAGGCAGCAGAGGGCCCCCGTGACCCTCTACCTCCCCTCGCAGGCAGCCGCCCCGACACAGTCACGCTCAGGTCAGCCAAGAGCGAGGAGTCGCTGTCATCCCAGGCCAGTGGGGCTGGTAAGCACAGGAGGCCCAGGAGCTGGGAGGGGCAGGGGCCCCGCACTGGCCTCTAAATGTATACTTCATTTTGGGGGGCTCTTAGGTTTTGGGGGTTGTTTGGGTTATTTTTAGCTTTCCATCTGGGCATCGGGTACAGTGACTTGGATGAAGCGTGTCTTGGGTCACAGCACCGTGACCACTGGCCCCTGCAGGCTCTTTCCAAGCAGACGTTCATTCAGGCCTTCAGGGAAGGAGTGGAGGCCACAGTGAATAACCAGGAGCCCCCTGGCCTGAACTGAGAGAGCCCCACTCTCTTGCGGGCTCCCCTCTGCCAGCTGCAGCCTCGCGACCCCGGCGTCCTCTAGATTTGATGGCATCACCCCCTTGCATTTACGGTCTCCCCACATACAGGTGTATCTAGCACACGGCGCAGCTCTGGTCGCTGTGAAACTTTGCAGAGAAACAGAACGAAGAGGCCGCCTTGCTGGCTGGGCCTGCGCGGGCGCGTGCACAGCTTTCACCCCCCAGCCCCCCACCCGCCTGCGTGCGGCTCAGGCTGGACCCCCGCAGCTCGCTGCTGCTGCACCTGCGGACACCCAGCGGGGGTGCTCCTTAGGCTTCCATCTTCCCCCTGGGTCTGGAAGGGTCTTTTCATGGACTGGCCGCTCATTTCCTTGATCACCCCGAGTCCGAACAGGGCTCACAGCCATCGTGACCCCATCCTGTCATGGGGTCAAGTGCCTCTTGGCGTCGCTCCCCCGGCCTGCTGGGCTGTGCGCCCTGCTCTGAGGCTTGGGCGACAGTTCTGACCTCCGCCTCCCAACTGCCTCCAGGCCTCCAGAGGCTGCACAGGCTGCGGCGACCTCACTCCAGCAGCGACGCCTTCCCCGTGGGCCCGGCACCTGCCGGCTCCTGCGAGAGCCTGTCGTCCTCGTCCTCGTCCTCGGACTCGGACTCGGACTCCTCCAAGACTTCATCCTCCACACCCTCGGCAGCCGGGCCGGGGGCGCTCTCTGGCTCACCCTCACACCGAGCCTCAGCCTGGCTGGATGATGGCGACGAGCTGGACTTCAGCCCACCCCGCTGCCTGGAGGGGCTTCGGGGACTCGACTTTGACCCCCTCACCTTTCGCTGCAGCAGCCCCACCCCAGGGGACCCCGCACCTCCTGCCAGCCCAGCACCCCCTGCCTCGGCCTCCGCCTTCCCACCCAGGGTGACCCCACAGGCCCTCTCAGCCCGCGGGGCCGCCAGCCCTGCCTTGCCCACTGCCCTGGACATCTCAGAGCCTCTAGCGGTGTCGGTGCCTCCCGCTGTCCTGGAGCTGCTGGGAGCTGGGGGGACACCTGGCTCAGTCACCCCGACACCAGCCCTCAGCCCCACCCCAGGCCTCCGGCCCCATCTCATCCCCCTGCTGCTGCGTGGCGCCGAGGCCCAGCTGAGCGACACCTGCCAGCAGGAGATCTGCAGCAAGCTGGCACTACCTGCTTCCCAGGGAGCCCAAGGTCAGCACGGTGAGTGCTGCTCGGCCTTGCCCGGCCTTGCCCTCGCAGACCAGCCCGCACCATGGCGGTGGCGCAGCTGACTCCCTCCTGTGCCTCTCCTCCAGGTCCTGGTATGGATTCACCACTACCGCCCCAGCCCCTGTCCCTCCTGCGCCCTGGGGGCGCACCTCCCCCACCCCCCAAGAACCCAGCACGCCTCATGGCCCTGGCCCTGGCTGAGCGGGCTCAGCAGGTGGCCCAGAGACAGAGCCAGCAGGAGCAAGGGACCACCCCATCTGCTTCCCGCTCCCCTTTCCGCCGCTCACTCTCCCTGGAGGTAGGCAGTGAGTCCCCGGGGACCTCAGGGAGTGGGCCCCCTCCCCACTCTGTAGCCCACCCAGGGGCCTGGGCTCCTGGGCCCCCACCCTCCCTGCCAAGGCAGCAGAGCGACGGGAGCCTGGTGAGAAGCCAGAGGCCCACAGGGACCTCGAGGAGGGGACTCAGAGGCCCCGCCCAGGTCAGCGCCCAGCTCAGGATGGGTGGGGGGTCCAGGGATGTGCCAGAGACGGCAGCCCCGTTCCCGTGTTCTGTCCCCTCGCAGGTTCCTACCCCAGGCTTCTCCTCAGTCCCCCGGGAGTGCCTGCCCCCCTTCCTTGGAGCCCCCAAACCAGGCTTATACTCACTGGGCTCCCCACCCTTCCAGCCCAACTCCCCAGCCCCGGTCTGGAGAAGTCCCCTGGGCCCCCCTGCACCACTTGACAGGGGAGAAAACCTGTACTATGAGATCGAGGCCGGCGAGGGGCGCTACTCTGGCCCTGCCCGGGCCTGGAGTCCTTTCCGCTCCATGCCCCCCGATAGGCTCAATGCCTCCTATGGCCTGCTCGGCCAGTCGCCACCGCTCCACAGGTCTCCCGACTTCCTGCTTGGCTACCCACCTCCCCCTTCCTGCTTTCCCCATGACCACCTCAGCTACTCAGCCCCCCAGCACTCTGTCCGGCGCCCCACTCGGCCTGAACCCCTCTATGTCAATCTAGCACTAGGTCCCAGGGGTCCCTCACCTGACTCTTCCTGCTCCTCCTCCCCACCTGCCCACCCCCGAAGCCGGTCAGACCCCGGCCCCCCAGCTCCCCGCCTCCCCCTGAAACAGCGGGCCCCTTGGGGTCCCCATCCCCCTCATAGGATGCATGAGCCCTGGGGCCCCCCTGAGCCCCTCCTGCTCTATAGGGCAGCCCCACCGGCCTATGGAAGGGCAGGTGAACACCACAGGGGGTCCTTATACAGGAATGGGGGGCAGGGAAGGGAGGGGGCTGGTCCCCCACCTCCCTACCCCACTCCCAGCTGGTCCCTCCACTCTGAGGGCCAGACCCGAAGCTACTGCTGACTCAGCTGGGAGAGCCCGTCCTCCCTTCCCTTCCCCTCATGATCTCGGCCCAACCCAAACCCTTGTTTTGTATTTTCTCGAGCTCCTGACCCCCTGCCCAGGTTTCTAACTTTGTAACTTGCTTCAAATGTGAGTCCCTAACCTTTGTCATAGCTCCCCCACCCTGGGCTGGAGGGTGCACCAGGCCCCTGCCCCCTCCACCCCGGGGGCTCTTGCACAAACCTGAGGACTGGGCTGAAGCCATCCTCCCGCTCCCTCCAGGAGCCCCCAGCATGTCTGGATCTGTGCATAGGGGATGAGGGGCACGGCTCCTGCCCACCTCCCCCACATGCCCCACTAAACCATCTGACAAAGCGAATGAATAAAAATGGTGAGAATGTGGCTGCAGGTGTCATGCCGGGGCGGGGCCCGGTGACCAGAGGCCGAGACAGACATGAGCTGTAGCATTTTCTTTCTTTTGTCACATCATCAGGTGCAAGTGGGGTCCTTGGGAGGGGTGATCTGCAGAGAGGGGGCCATGAGTGCCCTGAGAATCTGTACCAAGACTGGGGTCGGGCCTCGGCTTGCCTGCAAGCTGGCACCCACCTCGCAGCTCTGCCAGGATCTCCTCGAGCAGGTCCATCCTGAAGAGCAGGCGGCCGGGGGGTGGGGGTGGGGGGTCAGGATGGACCCCGGGTTACACCTCAGAAAGGAGGAAAGAACCCAGAAGCCCCCACCCCCCACCCCACCAGGGCCCCATTTCTCACTTCTGCAGGCTGGAGAAGAGGCTTCCTCTGACCAGTTCAGTGCTGGGCGCCTGCAGGAAAGAGGCGAGCTACACCAGCGGCCATGGAGCGCTGGATGGGCCTGGGAGGGTAGGACGGGCCGGGCCCAGGGCGCTCTGCTAGCCGGGGAGGGAAGTCTCCCTGTGGGACAGCAGGCAGGGGTGGGCTCTCAAGGCCGGCGTCCGGCAGGGCAGTGCAGGGCTCGGTGGGTCTTGGCAGCACCCTGGGTCCCCACAGGGAGGCCAAAGCCTGGAGGCAGGAGTACAGGGAGAGGCCTGGGGGAAGCGGGGCGGGCAAGGCCGCAGGGCCTTGAGGGGACAGCTGGGGGGCTGGGGGTCTCTGGTCAGCGGTGGCTGGGGACACCGGGATCACATTATTGGGCTGGGGGCATCGTGCTGTGGGGCTGGGCTCCAGGCCGCAGTGCAGGCTGACCCCGGCTGCGGGGCTGCGGTCTGGGCAGGGGCCGGGGCTGGGGCTGGGGCCGCGGCTGCTGCCCAGAGTCAGGCTGCTGCCCGAGTCCCACGCCGCACCCCTCCAGACTCGGCCGTGGACCTCGAGAGCCTCCAGGGCCTGCAGGGAGTGACGGCAGAGAGCTGACATTCCCGGTGCCCCAAACTCCCTCCGTGCTCCGCAGCCGCCCGCTCCTACCTGGGGCAGGGAGGGGCCTGGGGACAGCACAGAGCGCGCAGCCTTGGGTGCAGTGTGGGCTCTGGGAGCCACCTCACAGGGCAGTGTCTCTGGGGGCAGACCAGCTGGTTGGAATGGGGGGCACAGCTGGGCCGCACCGACACCTGCCACCGCCTGCCCCTCCCTCTAACCTGGCGGGGAGCTGACCCCAGGAGCCGAGTCCTGCAGAAAGGAGACCGGTGTGGGGCTGCGGGCCTGCTGAGGGCTGGCGGCCACCAGCCACCCCTGCCAGGCTGTCCTGTACCTGGGCCAGGGCCTCCCGCAGCAGGTAGCGAGTACTCTGCAGGCTGCCCCAGCGGTCAGCAGGCCCTAGGCCCAGCCCGGCCCGAACCAGGGCCTGGTAGGGGGCTGGCACCAGGGGGTCCATGGCTGGGCCCTCACCTGCTTCCAGTTTAGCCTTCACCTCAGGCCCCTCTCTCCCAGCCCAGGGAAGTTCCCCTGCGAGGAAGCATGAAGGCAGGAGCTGGGCAGTGGGCGGGCTGCCTCAGCGGGGCAGGGCAGGGGCTCACTCACTGACCAGTGAGCACCTCCTGGGCCAGGAGGCAGAAGCTGTAGAGGTCGGAGGTGGTGGCAGGCGCGTCCCCGCAGATGAGCTCCAGAGGCAGCCAGGGGTACAGCTCAGGAGGTGGAGGTAGCCCTGGGCAGAGGGTGCCCCAAGTGTCGCCCCGCTGTGGCCTGCAGAGGCCAAGAGGCCAGTCAGTGACTGCTGGGGGCGCAGGGACAGGCAGGCGAGGCAGTCACTCACCTGGACCACAGCCAGCGCTGGTGCAGCGGGCGCCCGTGCTCCAGGTTGCCCACCTTGGCCAGGCCTGGCCGCACCAGCTGCACAGCGTGGGAGCTAAGGCCCCCGTGAGCACGCTGGCGGGCCTGCAGGAACAGCAGGGCCTCCAGCACCTGCAGCAGCAGGCGGCCGGGCAGCAGGCCCCCCACGGCGCGGGGCGCCCCCCCACTCGGCCCCTGAGAGTGCAGCGCCGCATGCAGGGAGCCCAGCCACACCGGCTCGAAGAGAAGGCACAGCCCGGACAGGTCCGCCGAGGGGCTCAGAGCCATGAGCAGCAGCAGGCTGGGGTGCTGCAGGGTGCTGGGCAAGAGGAGAGCGGGCCACTTGTGGGGGCCCAGCCAGCACGGACACAGGACAGAGAACCAGGCCCCCGGCGCACAGCGGGGCGCCGTCTGTGCCCCACCCGGCCTGTCTCCCTACCCCACCCCCGCCAGGCCTCGAGACACGGCACCCAGAGTGGGGACCCACTTCCCAGTGGGTGGGGACGGCCACTCCAGTAGGCGGGCTCCGCCATGGCTGCGCCCCCAGGCCCACCTCTGGCACCTGACGCGGGAGGGCAGCGGGAGGCCGCGCACCTGCAGTGCTGGAGGTCGGCCAGCAGCACGTCGGGCGCCCCGGCGGCCTTCAGCTGCCGCGAGGTCACAGCCTGGCCCCTCCACAGCAGGCTGGAGGGCGGAAGCGGGAGGGCAGGTGAGCCAGCGGGCACCCTTGTGAGGGAAGAGGGCCGACCGCCCCGTGTCTGCCCGCCAGGTGGGGGCGGGCGCTCACTTGGCCATGAGGGTGTGGGAGCTGCTCTCGTAGGTGCGGTCTGGCTCGCCCCGGGCTGGCAGCAGCTCCTTGGGGTCTGCCAGGGGTATGGCTGTTACCAGCCCCAGAGGCCACAGGCTGCTCAGCTGGGGATGGGGAGTAGGACGATGAGGGACCAAGAAGGCAGGGTGCCCCGCTTCCCACCCTCTCCCTCTTACCCAACCGATCCCCAAGGCTGGGATCTGGGGGGTTCTCCTCATCTGTTCTGGCCTCAGTGCCCTGGGTAAAGGGCAGTTCTAGGTCAGTCTTGGGTGCCAGGAGTGGTGGGTGGGGGAGCCGCGGGGTGTGGGCAGTTACCTGTCTGCTTGCGCCAGCCGCAGGGAGCCCCGCAGGCTGCATCCGGAGCAGCTGTGCCACTGGCCCAGGGTCGCAGCGGGTGCCAGCTCCCCTCCCTGCATCAGTGCTGATATGTGGGTACGGCAGAGCTGCAACAGCTTCAGCACCTGGGCAGGGGGACAGGCGGGTGAGGGGGCAGTGCAGGCCCCGAGGCACCGCCCACTCGGGCCCCTCTCACCTCCCTGCTCTGCTTGGCACGGCCCAGGTCCGCCCAGTCTCGAGGGGTGCGACCCTGCTGGTCGCGCAGTCTCAGGTCACCCCCCGCCTGCAGCAGGTGCAGCATCACCAGGCTGTGGCCCGAGAAGGCGCCCGCGTGCACAGGCGTGCTGCCGTCCAGGCAGCGGCTGCGGAGGGCAGGCAAGGATCGGAGAGGGGACGCAGGGACGGGAGGTGCAGGATGGGAGCGCTGCGGGCTGACAGAGGCTGCGAACCTTGGAGGTAGGTGTCAGGTTGGGAGGGTCTCCGAGGACACAGTGGGGTCTCTGAGGTCAGAGGATCGCCGAGACAAGGTGGCATCAGGAAGGGGGACAGGCTGGAGGACAAGGGGTGGGCCTCTGGAAGAGAGTCCTGCTTCCCCAGGCTCTGACTCAGGGCCCCAGGAGCGGGGCGTCACCATGTGTCCACTCACTGGTTAGGGTTGGCACCACAGGCCAGCAGGCGCCGCACGGCAGAGCTGCGGCCCAGCAGCGCCGAGAGGAAGAGCCCCGTCTGTCCGGCAGAATTCTCACCATCCACCTGTGTGACTGAGGGGCAGCAAGCTTCGCACAGTCCCTGCCCTGTGCCCGGGGCTGCCAGGCAATCCCCAGGCCAGTTCCAGCTCCCTTTACTCCAGTTCCATCTCTTGGTCCTGAAACTCACCCCCGCCCCACCCTGGTAGCACCTGAGGCTGCTACCTCAGCTGCAGTTGCACCACCATCTCTGGAGGTGACAGCTGCCTTCTGCACTGACCATCCCTACCCCAGAGGTGTCCAAACCACACAGAGGACCCCCGGGTCCAGGAGAAGTGGACCCCATGGAGACTGGGCTTCCAGGTGCTTCCTAAGTGCATGGGCTCCATGTGGCCACCACCCAGTTCCCCAAAAAAGCAAACTTCCCAGAGTCTGTCAGGATGCTGCTCATGTCTATGTGTGAGCCCTGCATCGAAGAGCGGAACCAGGGGGCAGCTGCGCTCGGCGCCCATGTCAACCCCATCATCCTGCACAGACCCCTGCCAGCCCTCATCTGTCCCAAGTCCAGTTTCTCCACATTCACCCCGGCCACTGATTGCTTCCTAGTGATCCTGGCACCACCCTCCCGCTCCTCTTCTCCAGGCCCAGCCGCGTCCCAGGGCCAGACCCACGCTGTACTAGTCCTTCTGTTCTGTGTCCTTGGCAAGCCAGGCTAACAAGTCACGCACTTGGCCCAGACCAGCTTGGGGGCTGCCACAGATGTGGTCCTTGGAGAACCTCCTGGTATCACACTGCACCCCTCTGACTCATCGGTCCCCCCTCCTTGCAAAGGTGTCCTAATTGGGTTTCTGCATTTGTCTTGCCTGCACAGGGCTCTTCAGACACAAGTCATTTCATAATGTAATCGTTATGGTTACTTGATGTATCGACATTCTTATGCAAATTGTTCCAGAAACAGAAAAAGAGGGCTAGGAAAATTAAACATCAAAAAAAAAATTAAATACAAATAAAAAAGAAAAAGAGGGCAGGGCTCAACTCCACATGAATTTAATACGAGTTTAATTCTATCACTAAATGAAAGGTTTCAGAGCCAGAAAATAAAATTTTAGATCAATTCCATGATCACATGCAAATTTTAAGATTTATCAATATGTATATGTATTGTTTGTATGTATGTGTGTATATATATATATATGTATATGCAAAACCACTAAATAAAGTAAACAAGGTAGTCCAGCTGATTTATTCCCATAAAGGGTAGTTTAACATAGGAATCTAGCAATGTAATACTTTTATGGATTAAGAGACAACACATTTAACTCAGTAGCTGCAGAAAAAAAGCCTTTGATAACTTTCAATACCTAC